GATGTTAATTCCCTTCCTAGTGTTCTGGAATTCCCCCTGATTTCTTAGCACTGAACTCTCCCAGAGCTTTGAAATGGTTGGTTCAATGTTGTCATGTCGAGCAGGAAGTAAGTGTACATAAATTAAGATAAGCTCCAATCAAAGTGAACACTGTTAACACATCACTGAACCGTTGAGTGCTGTAACATGTAGTGTCATGTCTTAGATTTACAGCACGTAGTGCTAAAAGTCAAAATGACAGCGGAGAGTGTCATAGCTTAGATTTACAGAACGTAGTGCTAGATGTCAGATTTACAGCGGATTGTGTCATATAATAGATTTACAGCACGCAGTGTCATGTGTCAGATTTACAATACAATTCAAGAAAAATGTATTTCCATCTAAAGCCTTTCATTCGCTGTATCAGCTGGTAGGAGGCATGACCAGGGGTGCCAAATTAGAGGAGCATACTCTTTGAGACCTAATCACCTTCCTCGGGATGCATATCTTTGATCAAGCTATGTAGCAATGACTGTGTGAAACTGTTTTTCAGTACCTCTCTGTCCAATATACTGAGGTTGTCTAGGTGAAGTAATCATCTCTAAGATATACTCCAATGCTCAGAGGCGTAGCTAGGGGGGGGGGGGAAGCGGAAGGGCGGCCGCCACGGGCGCCGACCCTAGGGGGGGGCGCAAAAAGGGGTAAAAATATTTATAAGCCCATTTTAAGCGGCAGTTTTGAATTATAAACAGCTACACGCCTTTGCATATTGATTCAATTGTTTTCGACGTTGCTTGTATAAATGTAAAACATATAGTCTTAAAAAAACAGTGATCGGCTAAAAGCGCTTCCAGCTTTTCCTAGAAAGAGGGGGAGTGGGGTAGCGCTTTTTCGGAAAAAACGTACACTGGATTAGTAAGTTGTTTAACTTAACCACTTCTAAAAAAACATGTGTAACAATGCATATTTACGATTGTGTAACATTGAAAAAAAGAGTTAGGTAGAACATTAAAAATAGTGTTAGTGACGTTACAACCCGCTCTACCAGCTTTGTCCAAGATGGTGGGGAGTAGGGGCGCTCTTTCGCTAACAGAATCGCAAGGATTAGTAATTTAACACTTAAAAAAGTAACTAATTGTAGTAATGCGTAATATACGATTTCACTACCCAGTCTCAACTTGAACGTGAGAGATCAGATACTTTTACTTGACTGCATCACATTTTGCCTGGATCACGGTCTTAAAGAGAAATAAATATCACGGATTCTGGTATCGCTATCCGATCAGTAAAATAACATACGGTCGGAGCGGGTGGGTGGAAGGCGATACTCTTTTGCCGAAATTTTAGCGGAAAAGGAAAATAGTAGATTGTACAGAATAGAGAAGTTTTTGATTGCTTGATTCATAAAAAGTCCTAATACTGCAGTTTTCAAACAGTGAAGGTCATTAGACCTTCTAAACGAGATAAAACTGATACAACACGACGATTGCTACTGCTTTGTTACTTTGTTCAAACTAATAATTTTAAACTGTAATATACTACTATCGAAATTGTTCTAAAGACACAAACAAAAGTAGACCAAACAAGCTTGCACCATCTACAAACTACACTTTGAAGCAGTGGTTCGTAACCTGTTTGAAGGTAACCGAACTCCCACAAGTTTCATATGCACATTCGCCGACCACTTCTTAATAGTTTTATCAGCCACACTGACAAAATCCGATTTTGAATCATATGAGGCGCTAGTGTGTCTTGATCTCGACCGAAGCCCTGAGACGGACTCACCGAACCTCTTGGGTTCCATCGAATCCAGGTTAAGAAGCACTGCTCTAAAATCTTTTATTTTACTTTTACTTATTTGTTTCGGAGTATAGGCGTAGGCAACACCTCGCTCGTCAACTCAATTGATTTTTATGAAGATCGAACTTTAATTATCCAGCCTCCCCCATCTCTATTTCAAACGATTTTCTTTATACCATATTTGGTCTCATCTTCCTCTGTCCCCGTGTACTTTTCACCAGAACCTGCTGTGTGAGGTTCTATACTGTCTATTATAGATTGTGCCCTAACCATCACCTTTTCAATCTGCACTGTCTGTAACCTAGCTCCAAGCCATACAATAAAAGATACTTCACTTTTAGCTATAGATCTTGAATGCATTTCTTTGACAATGCATTTGAATTCCACATTGGCTTAGAATGTTAAAACACTTTTTATCGCTGCTGATCTAATCTGTACCATATCGTAATAGACAGTTCCAAAGATAAAACATAATAGACTGTCCTAAACGAATTAGCGCCTGCTACAAACTTCCCACTAAACTCAAACGAGGTTTATTTTTTTTCCTGACATTTATCATTTTTTAGGATAGGCACCACGGATAAAAGTTTTTTTAACACATTTGTGGGTGTTTAATAAGTTCATATGTTTATAGTTGTTAAACTATAGACAAAAATAATATATAGCCGTCAATAGCAGTACTGGTTGCCATGGAAACCTTGAAAAGGTGTGAAAACTAACACCTTTTCAAAGCGCTATAACTTTGTTCTCATAAGAGATTTTTAAAAGCGGATTAAAGATTTAGATTTCTCAAACCCAACTATACATTTCTACGTTTACTCATTGCGATAGCTTGTACTCAATTTTTAATACACATTTTTACGTAAATGTATGTGCAAAAATTAGGGGGTAGTGCTACATAAATATCAATATTTCCTAAAGTTTTGTAGTAAACTTAATGTACAAACGTATATTTGTAGATGATATAATGCTGAATATACGTGCAATGTTTTAGTCTTGTATAACAAAGTGTCCCAAATTTTAGCGATTTGAATTTTGAATGTTGAGTAAAAATGCAAAGTTGAGAAAACGTGAAAAGAAGAGCGGAAAAAGGCACTCTTATAGAAAACAGAAAGAAACGTCTTGCTATATGTGGAAGAACCATTTGACTAATAAAATACGCTTTAATTTATGCTGAAAGTTTTAAACAGATTTTTCTATGTAAGCAGAAAATATGTATACAACAGGTAATGAATTTATGACTATTAAGTATTACAAATCCTATCAATCGAGCGGGACGGAGTGGTCTAGCTGTAGAGAGCTGGACTGCTAACCCGTTAGTCACGAGTTCGAATCCGGGTTCAAGTCAGTAGACCGTCCCTGAGTCCACCCAACTCTGATGGGTACCTAACTCCTGTTAGGGAAAGTAAAGGCGGCTGGGCATAGTGCTGACCACACTATCTCTTCATATGCCGAGGTCACAGAAACAAGTGAACTCTACTTCACTTGCCCCATAGACCGTCAGGTTTGAAAGGGAAACTTTACTTTATTTTACTACTATCAATCGAGCGGTATTCTCATAACAGCTATCATCAAACAAGATCAAGTTTTGTCTGTTAGCCGGTCTTCTCACTTCAATACAATGTCTTTCTCTACTCAAATTGTAGCTTACACAATTTATTGCCTTATGATAATAGCCTACTACACAACAGTGAGTACAACGATTGAGGCTAGACTCGCCCCTCCACCCCACCCCACCGCGATTGTAGGAAAAAAACGTCACAAGAAAAAAGTCACAGGAAAAGCAGCACAGAAAAAAGTCACAGGAAGAAAAGTCACAGGAAAAAAAGTATAAATTATACTTTTACCAACGTGTCCCCTCCCCCGGAAATATCAAGTGCCCCCCCCCCCCCCCCCCCCGGAGAAAAAAGACTGGAAGAAACACTGTGAGCGGTTAATCATGTTTTTCTATGCATTTTGTAGATCTCGATCACCTACGCTGAGGGAGAGAATGAAGGGTATACAAGGGCAAGTGTAAGGTGTACAAGTGTGCCTGCCTGTAATGAAGAATGTAAGCCGTCACGATGTAACTCTGTTTGTTGACTGTTTTTGTATTATTTTAACTATGGATTATTGTTTTATTGTCTCAACTCCAATATGTCTACATATTTGTAATAAAGCTATCACGTTCAGCAAAGAAGTGTACTGTCACAAATCTACAATAACAGTTCTATTAACCACATAGAATTGTTACACAGGTGTCAGAAGTGGGATAGGATTTTTGCACATCCAATCTTTAGTAAAGACCTACAAAAACCTCACAATAAAGTTTTAATAACCGTATTTACTGTAATAACATCGCAACTTATTTTATGAATATTTTATACACAATCAGCACTATACACGAATGCATCCATTATTTATGTATTATCAATACCAGTCAGAATTACGTTTGTCATTTCAAACTATGAATGTTACATACACAGCCCGTTTGTCACTCGACACGTTCGTTATAAATGCAAGGTTTATTTAGTGTATTAATTGCTGTGAACTATTTCTGCAGTACAGGTAGGCTGGCGCCCGGTCATAAACCCCTGGACAAAAAAGCCACCAATTGCGATTTATATAAGGAAACCCAAAGATGTTGAGAACAAAAATTAGTAATTAAGAAAAAAACAAAATAAACATTAGAAAAAAACAGTTTTTTATTATAACATATAAAGAGAGATTGTGAGCGATGCCTCAAAAATACTCTATCATGGTGGGCTCATTCAAATTTTTTAACAACACACACACCCAACTCACATACACAGAGAATCACACACACACACACACACACACACACACACACACACACACACACATATATATATATATATATATATATATATATATATATATATATATATATATATATATATATATATATATATATGTGTGTATATATATATATATATATATATATATATATATATATATATATATATATATATATATATATATATATATTATTCCCTAAAGAAATATCCTTTGCAACGCTTATAAGAATGCGAGCAACTTGAAAGACCCATGCATTTATCGAAATGACGACTGGTTTAGGGGTTCATTGAAAAGCATGAAAAATACGATATTAAACACACACGCCACAACCACACATGTTAATGTTTGTCCTAAAACAATTTGAATTTAATTTTTTTCTAAGCTGTAAAAACAGACATAATAAAATACATGAATCTACTTACATTATATCTTAAGATGCACTTGTTTCAGCAGTTGTGGCGAAACTTAAACTCCAGAAATATAAATCCAGTACCTTGAGTGCATACATTAGACGGCTAGCACAGATTCTGATATTTGATGTTATGTGACAATCCAGTTAACTTTTTAGACCAATCTAAATTTAAGATTCGGTCACTAGCAAGTGGCTAGCTGCGCACTAAAGCATTGAGGAAGTTTAAAACCCAGGTAGGAGAGTTGCCTATATTCTAGACGGCCATGTTTACCTGGCAGTCTATTGAAACTTGTACACATTGCTGGTTGGCTTAATGCGACTGTACAATAGGCTACAGGACGGTATGAATAAAAGAATTAACGGAGAGAATTAAGGTGAAGTTCTCATACATCATTAAACTTTTGGCCTCGAACACACACACACACACACACCCAACTCACATACACAGAGAATCACACACACACACACACACACACACACACCAGTAATCGTGAATTAATGCAACTCTTATGGATAGAATTCATTTATTCAACAATTGTAGTTAATTATATAAAATATCAGATGTATATTCTTTAAATAACCATGACAATATTTTTAGATCACACACAATCTAAAATAATGAATTGGTATGTAAGGTAACACCTAAGTGATAAAAATCGTATTGACTAAAATAAAATAGTGTATTTAAGAACGAATTATGTTGCTATATTTGTGCTGCTCGGTGCAAGGTTAAGGGATGTTAAGATATGCAGGGTCACACGCATACCAAATTTAATTAATTTGTGCGAATAACGTTACATACACATGTAATGAAGATTTTAACTGTATTGACACCCCCACAAACGTAATATAGATTTTATCTGTACAGGAATACACAGGTGTAATGAAGATTATAAATGTATTAACGACACACATATTAAAAACATATTTTTCACTCTAACAGTTGCCCTTCCCCTTGTGCACATCATCACAAAGTTCAAACTTGTCTTTCCTAGGATTGTGACGCTATTTATAGACGACCTCCAAGATGGTTGTTAACTAAATACCTTTCCGCACTTCTAACTGACCTGGACTAGGTGCATGGGCGTTGTCACCCACTATCTGCCTGTCCATGCAACTACCATCTTCTGAAGTATATTGTTACGTCATAATCGAGTTTTTGTAAACATTACTAAAGCAGGCAGTGCATCTTAAAATTCTATTGACATTTCGCTACGAAATCTCCTCTGCAAGGATGCTTATTTATAACAACGAATCTCCCTATTGCTTTAGAACACCCACTCCCCCACTGGAGGTAAATACAGCCTTCCTCCACAAGTCTACACACGACCTTCACACACAAGTATACACACACTCGACCTTCCCACACGTTTACACACACTCAACCTTCCCACACGTCTACACAGGACCTTCCCACACAAGTCTTCACACGACCTTCCCACACAAGTCTTCACACGACCTTCCCCCACACAAGTCTTCTCACAACCTTCCCACACAGGTCTACACACGACCTTCCCACACCAAGCTACACACGTTTGTCATTACCGATGCCTGTCAGAGTAACATACTACCTAACGACACATTTTAATAAAAGTCAAGCGATCTGCGTCCTCTAAAGAATTTCAATATGGTCTTATTATAATGCAATTTCATATAAAAACAAAATATTTTGTATCATTTAATTTTAAATGTCAGAGCATTAACAGTGGTGTCGCTAGGTCGGGTGTCTTCCAGTGTGGAACTAATGGTGTCCCCCCACCCCGCGAATTTTTTTGATATATAGGCCTATAAATATATATATATGTATATATATATATATATATATATATATATATATATATATATATATATATATATATATATATATATATATATGAATGTATATATTTACATATACTTATTTTTATACACGCCCCTCCCCACCTCAGATGTGGATTGACGTGTCAATTATTACAATTCCAAAGAAAACATTTTTTTCAGGCACATTTTGCAACGCTTAGTTGGTTTCACACCTCTCTCCACACAGTGATAGCTTTAAACTGTGCACAGTTTATACTAACGATGTTCATCTATAGACGGTTATAAATACAGTTGGATATGGCATAGTTTTCTATAACGTTAGCAGGTTTACGTCATGGTGTCGTCCCCCCCCCCCCCCCCCCATCCTTGTCGGTATTTGTCAATTCAGCTTTTAATGAAAAGACTTTTTAACTCTAATTAATCATTTATTTAGCTTGAATGATCGTTTTCTTCTATATATATCTTTTGCTATTTTTGGCTTGGTGTCACCCCCTTAAATGGTGTCACCTGGTGCGGTCCGCTCCCGTTCCTCACGACGCCTCTGATTGTACCATCTATATTTATAATTCTCTTCTGGGAGACGTTAGAAAACAAGCTGCAAACGCGCGCCTTGCAGTCCCCTCTCTTCCGCTCTATCGCTACCACCCCCCACCCCCCTCACATGGTCAGGTGAGGTGTAGTTCACGCTAAATGTTTACAAAACTATCGTAGAGCCGGGTTTGGTGACGGCTATTAGGGGCAGATAATTCAGTTTGAAACGATTTTAAACTTAGAGGAGGTAACTAAGAGGAGGCTGCTTTCACGGGGGGGGGGGGAATTTTCAGTGGCAGCATTGGTACTGTTGAATTCACAAATTATGAATTACTGAAAAGTAGAAAAAAAAAAAAAAAACTAAATAGCGGCGTATGATACACCGCGGGTCGGCTCGTTGTTTTTATTTGTCAAGGGAAATAAGCAAAACACTGGAACTTCTTATTTATACAAGTTTTTTAAAAAAATACAGTTTTACTGAGCTCAACAAAACAGCCAATATTATGGCTGTTTTACTGGTAACTTTCAGCAAAGGACGAGATTTAAAAAGAAAATGAAAGCTATGTGTGCTGAAACAAGTGTTGTGTGTTATAATTTAAATAAAAGCGAAGAAGACTAGTTTTGAATTTCCCTGTTCCACAAACAACAAGCAGCTATAGCAAAGTATAAGCAGGCGCTAATATTTTCGGACTCCCAGGTAGTGGACCACTACCATAACACCAACCGTTTGAGCTACTGACCACTTAACCAGTTGAGGTAAGCGGTACATAATCTTTACCGGAGCAGCGGATATTGGCAGTAATGAAGTGGTTACCGGGATCAAACTGTAGGCAACTACGTGAATCATAGTGCATAATTATGTAAGCCCCATGAAATCATAGTGCAAATACCCCCCCCCCCCCCTCCAAAGCTAAATCTTGGTGCAAATACATAATATAAGCAAGAGCAATAACCGAACACAGAACTGTCTGAGTGAGGTTTTAATTTAAAAAAATTAAGTATTATAAAAACAAATGAAATATTATACAAGTAAAATAGGTGAAATATCTACATTCAAATAATCTAGTGATAGTTTTGACATACATATATTAAACCAACACTCAAATGACATGTATTTGATAGAACTGCCAGAAATGCAAATACATAATGTATCCCGTCTCTCATGAAATCACGGTGCAAATACATAATGTAAACCACCACTCGTGAAATCATTGTTCAAATAATGAGTGAGGTTTTAATACAAAATGATTTAAGTATTATAAAATGTGTGAAAATATTATAAGTAACATATGTGAAATACCTACATTCAAAATGTGAAATAATCAAGTGATAGTTATGACATACATATATTAAACCAACATTCAAAGGACATGTATTTGATAGATCTGGCACACCAAAGTGCAAGCTGTGACATGTGACACAATCAGTTGACAGTCGTGGTGTCAGTGACACTAAAATCAGATGATGTTGTCTCAGATGTAATCTCGCTGTGTTTTTCCCGTCTCTTGTCCCCAAATGCGGGATTTATCGCGTAAACATCGTAAACATTGGCACTTCTTGATTGGCCAGAACTTGTCAGGCTGGTATCTGAAACTAAAAGAAAAAAATTCCATGTAGCATATGTAGGACAGCAACACCGCTAGAATATAACTATCTTATGTCTTACAGATACTTGATAATCTTTATTCAACACTTTACTACAGAAAACTATTACCCCTAATCTTTATTCAATACTTTACTACAGAAAACTATTACCCCCAATCTTTATTCAATACTTTACTACAGAAAACTATTACCCCCAATCTTTATTCAATACTTTACTACAGAAAACTATTACCCCCAATCTTTATTCAATACTTTAATACAGAAAACTTTTACCCCCAATCTTTATTCAATACTTTACTACAGGAAACTATTACCCCCAATCGTTATTCAACACTTTACTACAGAAAACTATTACCCCCAATCTTTATTCAATACTTTACTACAGAAAACTATTACCCCCAATCTTTATTCAACACTTTACTACAGAAAACTATTACCCCTAATCTTTATTCAATACTTTACTACAGAAAACTATTACCCCAAATCTTTATTCAATACTTTATTACAGAAAACTATTACCCCCAATCTTTATTCAACACTTTACTACAGAAAACTACTACCCCCATTCTTTATTTAATACTTTACTACAGAAAACTATTACCCTCAATCTTTATTCAATACTTTACTACAGAAAACTATTACCCCCAATCTTTATTCAATACTTTACTACAGAAAACTATTACCCCCAATCTTTATTCAACACATTACTACAGAAAACTATTACCCCTAATCTTTATTCAATACTTTACTACAGAAAACTATTACCCCCAATCTTTGTTCAATACTTTACTACAGAAAACTATTACCCCAATCTTTATTCAATATTTTACTACAGAAAACTATTACCCCCAATCTTTATTCAACACTTTACTACAGAAAACTATTACCCCCAATCTTTATTCAATACTTTACTACAGAGAACTATTACCCCCAATCTTTATTCAACACTTTACTACAGAAAACTATTACCCCTAATCTTTATTCAATACTTTACTACAGAAAACTATTACCCTCAATATTTATTCAATACTTTACTACAGAAAACTATTACCCCCAATCTTTATTCAACACTTTACTACAGAAAACTATTACCCCTAATCTTTATTCAATACTTTACTACAGAAAACTATTACCCTCAATATTTATTCAATA